TAATATGAGCCGGGTATCTGATGACACTTCCAACATTTATCGGACTTGTTCTTATACATTCCTGGTTCTGGTATTTTGAGGGGAGCGTCCCACGTCCACCTCCTTCAGGCCACATGTGAGTCCAGGTTCCTCAGTCACATCTCTGGTCAGCTACTCTTCTTTTTGTAAGCTAAAGAGAGGTGGTGGGCTCCCCCAACCCTGGATGTGTTCAGAGGGAACCTTGAGAACCACCTGAGATGAACATAGGAACAGCCTCACTGGATCTGGCTGAAGCCCCAGTTAGTTCAGCGTCCTGGTCCCTTACAGAACAGCCCACCTGATGCTTCTGGGAGGCTCACAAGAAGCAGATGGAGAGATCCCCCTTTAAAAGTCATCCTAGTTAGTGGCCCTGACTGTGTCCTGTGGTAGTGAATTCCACAGGGTAATCGCAGTTAGACAATGATGGTTTTTTATTATTATTATTAGTTTGTTCGTAGATTTTTATACCCAACCTATATTTTGTACAACTCAAGGCAGCATACCTAATGCTCCTGCCACAGTTTCCCCACAACATCAGTCCTGTGAGCTCGGCTGGGCTGGACTGAGAGAGAGTGACTGGCCCAAAGTCACCCAGCTGGCTTCCATCTCTAGGTATCAAGGCTAGAAGGTAGACTGACCAAAAATTTGACTCCCTGGGAAGACTAGAACTATACTCTGTTGAGACTGCCCATAATAACAAAATCTTGCAAGTCTGCTGCATTTTCCCTTCCCTCCCTCTTACGCCCCAGGAGTTGGGGGAATCACTCTGAGTCTCTAATGCTTTCCTTTCCCCCCTGGGCTTCACATAGGCTTCTGGATGCCTTTTCCAAGGTTATTTCCATGGCTCCCTACCCTAAGATGGATTGATGATTGATTACGTGCCATCAAGCCATTGTCAGCTCTTAGGGACCACATAGATATGTTTTCTCCATGATGATCTGTCCCTGACGTGGTCTTTCAGGTCTTCCAACGGTTTCCCTGTTGCTACTGTAACTGAATTCAGTGCTGGTCATCCTCTTCTTCCCTTTCCTTCCACCTTTCCCAGCATCAGAGCCTTCTCTAGAGCAGCGTTTCTCAACCTTGGCAACTTCTAAGAGTTTAAACTTTAAGCTAGCAGGGGAATTCTGGGAGTTGAGATCCAGACCTCTTGAAGTGGCCAAGGTTGAGAAGCATTGCTGTAGAGCAGTGTTTCTCAACCTCGACAACTTGGAGATGTGTGGACTTCAACTCACAGAATGGCTGGCTGGGGAATTCTGGGAGTTGAAGACCACATATCTCCAAGTTGCCGAAGTTAAGAAACACTGCTCTAGAGAGTTAGGTCATAATGTGTCTGAAGTAGGCTAGTTTGAACCTGTCATTCCTGCCTCGAGGGAGACACTAAGAGAGGACTAGAAACTGCAGTCTCCCAGTTTCTAGTCCAGCACTCAACCGCTATACCAAATGGGCCATTGGCAAGGGGGATACAGTGGCTTTAGCACCCTCTTAAAACCTCATATGCTGAGAAGTCACTCATTTCTTCCTCTGTGCCCACTGGATGGCAGTAGAAGTCAAAGGAAAGGAACGAAGAAATGCTCGTCTGCAGGTCCTGCTCTCCCCTGCATGAAAATGCCCCCTTCCAGCGTTGAGGCTTGAATGCACAATGTTTGCAGACCGTCCCAACCCATTGTAAATACAGCCTCCTCCAGCCTTTCCTTGCTTCAAAAGGGATCGTGCTTTTTGTCTTCTAGCACAAGCCACCCCAAATTGTGCCATGCGACAGGTCAGGGTTGGGGGCCTGCCTTGCGCCAGGCGGCCCACCCCCATGATCCTCAACCTTTGATTTTCAGCGCCCTTCACCATTCAGCAGCAAGAGAATTGGGGGATCCCCCTGTGCCGCAAAGCCATCTCCCCTAATTTTCTCTACTTGGGGGCTGGGTGGGAGTGGATGGTCCAAGGTCCAGAGCACTTCAGAGCGTGCGCAGCCCTGTTTCCAACTTCCAAGCCTTTAACGCCCTCTCACAACCAAGAACACATTTTCAGAGTCTCAGATGTATTGAAAGGAAAAAGGCTTAAATTACAGAACTTTGGAGCTGGATATTGTCCTTCAGCCCCCGTTTTTCAGTGTGGCTGAAAGGTGGGGCTTCTCTGATCCTCTTTCTAACGGCTTCTGGGTGAAATGGCATATTTCTTCCCTCTTGGCACATAAGAAGGGACACGCATCTCTTCTGGCCCTGTTTTGCAAATGGCTGTTCCCATTCCCAGGCTCAAATTTCTTCCTTACAGTAGTTTAAATATCGAAATGGCCAAATGGCCATAATTTATCCCAAATAAAGGTGTAATTCCCTTTAAATGTAGCATTGATGGTTCAACAACTGCCAGTTCGTCTAAAGTATTCAAAAAAGTACAAGGTGATAGATAATCCATCTGCCTCCCCACCTCTTTGATTAAAAGGGATAAACTTTAATGAGCTGGTAGCACTTTTTCTGACTCACATATTTTGTTAAAAGGCATGTACAATACACATGTAAAATAAAATGTGTTAGATTTTTTTTTTGCCAGCAAACACAGCCCTCCTATAACATCCCTTCATTCCATTATCTACTAGCTGAGAAATGGCATTCAAGGGGATGGACAGTAAGGCAAAAAAATAAAATACAGAACAAATACATTCAAAGCACAATTCAGGCTAAGTTGCCGTATTTATCCCAAAGGAGGGCAACCCTGAATTTAAGACGAGAACCCTCAAGAAGGGAGATTGGACAAAACCAGGATATATGCCCCCCAAATTCTGTGCATTGCCCAGTTTCCTTCCTGCATCAGCTGGAATGGTCAAGTCCCACTAAAACCAGTTCCAAAGATTCCTTTTTTCCCAAACCCAACCAATGTTTCCTTCTTACTGTTTTGCTCCAGCCGAAGTGAAGCAGATGGCAAAGAAGGTGGCATCAGGGCAGCTTGGCTTCCCAGCTCAGCACCCTGCCAGCCGATGGATGCTGGAGAGCGAGGCCAAGGACATCAAGACCATTTTTCCAAGCCCCGCCAGCCGTGAGTGGGTCAGACTCTGCCAGGAGCATGGCGAGGTGGGGAAGGGGCAGCCCAGCAGGGCAATTGGAGACCACAAGGTGCTTCGCAACCATGAGAAGGAGAGAAATCAGGACAGTCTGTCAGGAAGAACCACAGGACCGGAGAAGCAAGGCAAGAAGGGTTGGGTTACAGCAGTGGTTCTCAACTTTCAGATGGGTGGCGGGGGAATTCTGGGCGTTGAAGTCCACCCATCTTAAAGTTGCCAAGGTTGAGAACCACTGGGTTACAGTGAGGACTGAATGACGTCGCTCTTCTCCTATCCCAATATTTGTGATCCTGCTTACAGGATGGGGGCCAAAGTTCTGTGGAAAGTTTAATGTGCTTTCTATGGGGGGGGGGGTTCTTCCTCTCTTTAAATATATTTTAATACTGCCACTTGTTCCATGGCAGTTGTTTTTATATATTTTTTAATTTATTGGCATTATTTATTTATGTTATTTATTTATATGTCACGTTTATATAGCCGCCCATCTCACACATTGTATCTGACTTTGCTATCTGGAGAGTCTTCTGGCTGGTTATTCTGCTCCTGCATTTAGTAGAGCTGAGAAGCACCACGGCTTATGCCAACAGTTGCCCGCCCAGCTTCTCAGTTTGAGGGCCTTTGGATCCAGCACTCTTCTCTGCTCAGTGGCCCACCATCTGGACCTCCACCTCTTGAAGGCGCAGCTTTTGTCTAACTGCAGTTATTGGTATTAGAATCTTAAAACTGGGCAGTTGGAAGGGATCCCTGAGATAATTCAGTCCAACCCCTCTGCAATGTACAGGAAAATCAACTCAACCATCCTTGAGTGGTGGCTGACAAGCCTCTTCTTAAAAGCCTCCAGAGATGGAGAACCTACCACTTCCATAGGTCAACTCTTCCACTGTTGTGCAGATCTTAGCTCAGGAAGTTTTTATGAAATCTAGGTAACTGCAATTTACACTCATTATTTCTGGTTCTAATGTTGAAGCCATGGAAGACCATTCCTGGCCATCTTCCCTGTAGCTTCTCTTGATGGATCCAAATGCTGATATCACGCTCCCATCAATCTTCTTTGCTTCAGACTCCACTTCCCCAGTTCCTTCAGCCTGTCCTCAAAGGGCATCTTGTCAAGTCCCTCTATCACCCTTGTTGCTGACTGTGAACTCTGGAAATACAGTCTCCATACTTGGACACAGTACTCCACGTGTGGTCTCACCTACTACAAGTTTGGGTTCAAGAGGAACACGATGGGGAGTGAACATATGTGTGTATATGTTTGCATGTTTCTTCTCTGAATTTACAAATGTGTTACAGGCCCAGGTTCAAGTCCTTACTTGACCATGGAGCTCACATGGAGCTTACTGGACCATGGAGGGACTTTGGACCAATCATTCTTTCTCCATTTAATCTGCCTTGCAGAGGTGTTGTTATGGGGATAAGGTGCCTCGAGCTCTCATAGAAAAGGTGAAGTACAAATGCTCCCCCAAAAGCTGAAATGGAGCCCCAGTAAGGTGGGGGCTTGGGAGGTATGCCCAAGATAGTGTGAATAACTTAACATAGTTCATAATGCTATCAGAATCAAGCTTCAATGAAGGTTGCCCTCTCTCCAGAAGTCCCTCCTCTTCCTCTCCAAGGCTGCTGGGAGTTGTAGTTCAGTATCTGGACTCCCATTGGTTGCCTTCTCCAGGAGAGTATATCCTTGTTGGATAAAATACTATATCATTTATTTCTGCCTATCCAGGTTAAAGAAGTCCTTGTTGGCCACCACTAGAAGGCACCCCATCTCCCCACCTGCCATTGTTCCCCCCATAACTTTCCTGTTCTGTGTGGATGCATTTGATTAGCTCTGCAGTTTTCTGATAGTGTCATTACAGGCCCTTTTATAAGTGATCTAATCTTCCCCCAGTCTCATAGGCACCAGCGCCTAACCATGATGATGTCACCACGATGAAACATGGATTGTGACATTAACGATGCCTCAGCTGCCCTTGCGTTCATACGTCCCAGCGTTGCACAGAGTTTGCATCACGGCACACATTTTGCCCCTTGACCTCCTGGGGATATCAATGGCCCGTTGACAAAATACCTACTAAGGGTGAAGGGTTGGAAACCTTTCTTAGCAGAAGAAAGAGCCCCACTCTGGTTAGCTGATTCATAATACAATCTTTGAATCAAGTATAAATGAAAGTTGGATTGTTTAGGGCAGAATTGCCCACCCAAGTTCTCTGTTGACCTGGAAATGCCAGGAACTTGCCTGTTAGAACAAAATGGTCTGTTTCTGGAGATTCCAGTTTGTTAGTGGAGAAATTCTTTGATGTTCCTTGCTCCTAACTGCACCAGACTTTAAAAAGAAAAATATTCTTTTAATTAAAATGGAATGAAAGGAGAAACCGGAAAAAAAACCTTCTAAAAAGGCCCCTCAAAGATATTCTCAGAAAATAGCACACGGTTTGGCTTGGAAGTACAGCTCACACTGCCTTCGAGAAAATGGGGGGTGGTAAGTAGCTAGCTGGGTTCTGCTGTCTTAATTGCACCACACTGGTGTTCACTGAAGAGCATTTATAAAGATCCTGTTCAAGATGCCAGCAGATGGAATATTGTCTGCTTAGGTCTGCCAGAACAGGGTGGGCAATGTTTGCAATCCCACATTCTGTCCTTATGGAGGATGCAATGCTGCTTGGAAAATGTTTGGTTGGTTTTTGTTCGCTTGGCAAATGGGGGTGGGTCAAAACAGGGAAGACGTTGGTCGTTGCGGGGCAGTTGTCAGCCTTGCGAGGTAGTCCAGACAAGAAGCACACCCAGAAGTACGAGTTCTAACTTTATTGTAAAGTTCCATTAAGAGAATCCTGCAAGTCGGAAAGTACATCTCCCCCCCACCTTTTACAGCCCAAGAAAGTAGGGAGGGTCCCTTCTGAGACGTTTGCCACGCCCACCTTCCTTCTCTGGGCTCAGCTGCCTCTTATCTGACCGTCCTCTGCAAGGTCATTCCCACAGACCACTACAGCAGCTGAAGTCTGTGCATCGATGTGACACAGAGGTGGAAAGAGGTGGGACTTTGATTAATTGCTGCGACTCTTCCCCCCGCCTGATAGACGGATGCTGCTGTTTGGGAAGGCTAAAAGCAGGAACAAGAGTGTCTTGCCTTGCCAAATACTTTCATGGGTCTTCCCACAGGGATTGTACGAAAAACCAGACACCCCCCCAAAAATGCAGCCCAAATTCATACGTTTCGCTGTCAGATTTTGGCAGCCCCAGCGATGCAGATAAGCTTTGATTTCGCTGTGGCGACCACCTTGTTTTAACCCTACCCTGCGGGTACTCCTGAGCAGGAAGGGGTGCCTTAGAGATGTCGTGCTGGGAATTGCCCACCCCTTGGCTGGAAAGAAGAGCTCCCCCCCGAGAATAAAATGGCCAAGGAGCAGGAATGCAACTGGGCTCTTAGATAATTGGTGGGAAACGAGAGGCGGTTTGCAGCCGTTTCGGCGTTTTGGGTCTGCTCCATTTTCCTAACGGCTTCGGCGCTATCATTATCGGTAGCGCGGATTTGTTTCTCTGGGGCCCAGGAGAACAAAAAGATGGATTATCAGGCGCTGCTTTTGAAAAGTCATTTATCGGGGATGCTTTGTCCCCCCGTCGAAAGGATAGATGTTTTTGGCTCTGCGGATTGGACATTGAATTGCCATTATCGTCCCCGTCCCCTGTCAAATCAGCCTCTGTTGGCATTTTCTGATTTATTTGTTTTTAGAGCCTGTCTGTTGGCCAAGAAACAGAGTTTTTTCCTTGCATGCTAATTCCAGCCCCCACCCCCCTCATTTTTCCTGGTGGCGATGTTGCATTTCACATTGTCTAATTTATTATTAGGAAAATGCAGTCCAACTCCAGCCGGCGAGGGTGGCGCAGCGTCACGCAACCACATATGCCTTTCTCTCACCTCTGAGGACTCTTGCAGGGTACGCTACGTTACCTTCCCCCCATTTTGCTCCTTCGGCTCCCTAAATAATTAAGCAGTTGTTTTTCATCCAACCAGCTGATCCCGATCCAGGCCGTTGACCAAAACAAGGATAAATCACAGCCTTAAGCCATTCCAGAGATACACTTAAATACAGTCTCCCACTGAAAAAAAATGAAACTTGCAGGTGCTTTTAAAACATCCTGATGCTTTAAAGCCACTGGGGCTTTAGACGCAAGCAAATAACCACGTTGTAAAGTTTGGAAGAAAAAGAAAGCCATGTGGATTTTGCTGAGGGGGGGGGAGGCCTTTTTGGCAAAGGTTGACGTATACCAGGCTTCATGAACCAGGGGGGTGGATGTCAGTTCCCTGAATTCTTAGCAGTAGCCATGTTGGCTGGGGAATTCTGGGAGCCAAAGTCCATCCACCTGGAGGACTCCTGGTTTTGGGGAAGGACGCTACATGCAGGAGGGCTGCTGTCCCCAAGATTTCCCCAGCTGGCGAAGGAATTCTGGGTGTTCCACAGGAGGAGAGGGTACGGTTGGAGAAGGCGGCAGCAGTTCCTCTTCTGCAGATGTCAAGGAAGAAGGCAGAAACCATTATTTCAAGGTGGAACTCCATGCTACTTCCTGAGAAGTTTCCAAGTCAGCACAGCCATTCCCTATTCCTTATGCCATTCCTGTCTCTCAATCATTTGTTTCCCTGTTGGGCTCCCGGTGTTCTCTGAGCTTGGTTGTTTCCCTGCAGATGTTTTGTGACCAGGCTGGGTAACATCATCAGTGCAGAGGAGAGCGGAGTGTGCTGGCTATTTCTATAGAGTCACTTGCCCTACTGGTCCTGGTGGTGTGGTTTCTTCCCCGATGGGTCCTCAATCAGGGTTTTGTTTCTTCCCCATGTTTCCCCCACGGGTGTTTCTCTCTTAATTGCAAACTTGCCCTTCCTTCCACCCACTCGGGAATATATAAGGATCCCATTTCGTGCCCTTCCAGTAACTTAGTATACGGTCTTGTTTCCTGCTGTGCTGTCTGGAGATTAAAAACAGGTTCACGAGAAGGGTGGCCTGGGAGTTTTGCTTGTGTTTGGCATTTCTTCTGGCAAAAATGAGTTCAGCAGGTGGTTTGGAATGAACAAGTGCAAATCAATCATCGGTTTGCCTGCCTGCTCCCCACCACCTCCCTTCCGCTTCCTTGACCCCGGTGCTTCAGCAAGCAATTCAGCTAAGGATTCTGATAGGCAGAGCGTTCTGGAAGGGGGTTCCTAGCTAAAACCCAGAAATGCTAATATTTTGAAAGGAGCCTGTGACATGGAACTCTTTAGAACTGGGGAAGCCCTTGGGGCCCCAGCGTGGGCCATGGCCAACTCCCTCGAGCTTGCCAGCATTGGGACAGTGGATAAATTGCATGAATAAGTAAACAAGCTGCTTTGGCCCTTGTCAGGTCTCCTGCTGTATTATACTTTGAAAGAAAGATTGTTCTAATTTATTGTGGAAACAGAATGAGGGGACAAAGGACACTTGTGTATGTTGCCTGGAGTCTCGGAGGAAAAACAGAATATTAAATAAACAGATAGGTGTGGGGCAAGGGACGAAACGAGTGTTGCCCTGTTGCAATCCAAGCTCTGTTATTGACGAAGCTGCGGTTTTAATTTCCATGTCTTTTGCAGGAGCAGCTGGAGGAGCTGACCCACTCACCATCTTCCTCCCTTAACATGTCGGAGGAGTTTTTAACCCCTGACCCTGACTATTTTTTCGGCAGCTCTGCTCCTCATGAGCCTTCTGAATTGGAAGTAAGAGAAAGGGAGGCTTTGTACAGAGGGGGAAAAGAGAACTTTGTGGAAATCATGCTTGGGGGGGAGGCTTTGGCCTTAGGCAGATGTCAAGAAGCTAATACTAGTTGCCTTGGGTACTCACAGTGAGTGGAAGAAACACCAAGGGGAACTGGGAATCAGCAGCCAACAGGCCACATGTCACCCCCAGTCCTGATTTTGACCCTTCCAGACCACCTAACAGACTGCACTGTCAAATCACATAAACACTATTTTTACCTCATTTCCTCCTTTTAACTTCTCCTGCTTCACCCCAGTGAAAAAAGGCCACCCAAACATTAGCCCTATGTCACGGCATCCCCCTTGCAGCCATTGGAAACCCAACCTGAAGTCTAAAGAAAATACTCCCTGGCTAGACCTTGATATCTTGTGGTCAGGACCCTGGAGAGCTCCCAACACTAAGCTGAAGGTTGGTTACCTCTGTTGGTCCAGCACCGGTCCTGGCCCATTAATTAGGTTCCCCAACCCAGATAATCCCTTATTTCCACCCCACTTAATGTTGACGCTAAAGAGCCAGCCACCCTTTTTAAAGCCTCAGATTCCTGTGTGGCTGAGATAGTGTAGAAATGATAGGTGAGTCATCATTTGAGTCCGAACATCAGATTTTGAGAGGCTGGGAAGGCGTTTCATGCGATAATCTGTAGTTCAACATATCCTGAAGCCTCTTCAGGGCTTTTAAACTCCTGACTCTGGAGATGCATGAATTGGCCAACAGCTGGAGAACCCCAGGTTGGATTGATTGATTGATTATGTGCCATCAAGTCATTTTGGACTCCTAGTGACCACATAGGTAGATTTCTCCACAATGACCTATTTCTAACCTGTTTTTTCAGATTGAGGTAGGGTTTGTTAATTTTGGGTAGACTTCATTTTGCCAAAGACCGTAGTAACAAATACTTTCACATTGAGTAAATAATGACAAATATGTGAACAAATAACTCATCTTGTGTTCCAATTTTGGGGCTGAGTTGAGACAAGTGAATTCTTTCACTGTTTGTCCCAGAGAAACTCTGATTTATCCTTTCAGTATTCAACGGCTGAGGAGGAAGAGGAAGAAGATATTCTAGAAATAACAGAGGAAATTTGTGGGCAGAAGGAACAGTTGAAAAAGTCTCAAGTAATCTGTGGTCAGAAAGAACATCCCATAAATGCAGGGCAGAGTAAGTTTTCCCCCCCAATATTAGCTCATCCTCTTGTCTTAATTACTTAGAGAAAATCATGTCATTTCCATGGGTGATGGAGAAGTAAAAATTTGATCTAAGATTCTCCAAAAGTCAGTTTAATCACATGGCTTTTTTGTTTTTTCACTGCATTGATTGCATTTTTTTCAACTTATCAATGAGTTTGTATTCCTGTGGAAATCAAGCTTTGCTAAGCATTCTTTCAAGACATCTTGCCGTCTCCCTTCAAGAGGGATTAAAACATGGACAGCATAATTTTGGGAAGCTTCTTGTGGGTAGAGGCTGTTAGAATTTGCAATGTAGTCCAGTTCTTAATGTTGGTTAGAGTACTGCTTCTGCACACTATTGAAATCTGAGAGTCGTTTTCACTCAAGGAGGATTCCCAAGGAAAAAAATCCTTATTTTCAGACACAGTAGAACCATTAGAATTCACTAGACCTTATAGTTTAATATGGGGCAAATGGTATTAACAAGAAAATTGCCAAAGATGTTGAAGAACAAGCCTTGCTGAAAAGGAACCAACTTGGCATCCACAAAAGTAAATCTCATTTCTCCAGTCTTCTAGACTTCTAATGAGTGTCAGCAAGCAGGTGGACAAGGGTAAACCAATTGGTGTTGTGTACTGGCTTTCAGAAAGTCCCTCACCAAAGGTTTCCTAGCATAGTCAGATGACCCAGAGGACAGGTGCCCAACTAGTAAAAAAAAAACTAGGAATAAATAAGCAGTTCTCCCACCGGTATTCCCTCTTGGATTCAAGAGGTGTGTTCGAGGGTGCTCAACGGGTGTTGGTTAAAACCTGCAAGATGGTGAACATGGCATTGCAACTGAAGCTCTGCTCCTTTTGTATTTGACTCTGTGGGTTCCATGTTGATTTTTTAAACGTCTTTATATTTTAAAAGCATTGCGTTTACGATTGAAGTTTAATCATTTGTTAATATTGCTGTTAGCATCTGTCCCACTTGGTCGCAGAGCTCACTTGTTTTGCGCTGCCCTCGGCTTGTTCACATGGGGAAGCTCTCAGTGCATGATGCAACGGGGGGGGGGCTCTTTTCAGCTAGCCTGACGCAGAGCTTGATGCTTCGATGCCTCAGAGAGGACGAGGACCTGGGTCCCTCTGCTCCTTGTTCAGCAGCTGCACCACTAGACCAGCCTGGCTGTTGGCAGAGAAGGAAGGACTGGCTCAAAAGGCCCCAGGGAGCCTCTGTGGTTGAGAGGAGACTTGAACCGGGTCTCCCACTCCTAACCTAGCGCTTTCACCACGACCCCACATTGGCTCTTGGCTGAGAAGGAGTCCCCAGGGGGGTTCTGGGGGTTGTGTCAGGGGCCAGAATCTGGGCCTTCCCACCCCTAGTCCAGCATCTCAATCGCTACCCCACACCACCTCTGGGCTGAGAGGGAGAGGCCAGCCCTGGGTCACCAGAGAGCTTCTGTGGCTGAGGAGGACTAGAAGAGGAGTCTCCCTCCCCCACCATCATCCATCGCCTTAACCACTATACCATGCTGGCTCTCTTCAGTATTATTCATTTATACAATTTCTAGGCTGCCCAACTGCAGTCACTCTGAGCAGCAATATGTTAAAGGGTTGAGTTTTGTATATTAATACTATGCAGGTAGTCCGCGCTTCATGACCATTCATTCAGTGACTGTTGGAAGTTACGACAGTGCTGAACAAGTGGTAGTGACAACCGGTCCTTTAAGTTATGGCCACTGCGGTCACATGATCAAAATTTGGGTGCATGGCAGACCACCCACATTTATGACCACAGCATGTGCTTCAACTTCCCCCAACCCACCTATCTCCCCCCCAATCTCTGCCTTATGGCTGCCCAGCGCTCCACTTCCTTGCCACTCCCAGCTGACCTTCGCCATCTTGCTCCCACTGCTGACAAGGTATGCCCGGCCTGGCCCTTCGCAAGGCAACTGCTGGCCATATGACACCTTCTTTGGCAGCGGGAGGAAGGCTTGTGCAGCCTCCCACCCCCAACAGCACCCACCCCCAGCCTGGCTGTGCTCGCACTGGGTGGTGGCAGGCACTTACCTGCCCAACAGCCTGCTTGCGAGCCCCCTGGGACTCTTGACTTCCTGCTGGCTCCTATTGACTTTCTTGTGGGAAGCTGGCAGGAAGTTACAAGGAGGTGTTCACTTAACAACCCACAGTCCTCGCTTAACGACAGCAGCGGGGACTGCCAAAAGTGCCATCACTAAGCAGTGCAGTCATGTGACATCGTGCTTTACGACCATGTCACTTAGCGATGGAAATTCTGGTCCCAATTACCGTCATTAACTGAGGACTACCTGTATTGATTTTCCCTCAAGTTTTAGTTCATTTTTACTACTATTATGTACATGCTTATTGTATAATTGTTTTTGTATCATTTTGACTTTATTAGAGTCAAAATTTCAGTAATGGAAGCAAAAAGAACATTAAAAATGCTCAACACTGGTGAAAGGTAGATTTTGGGGTGCCCCAGAGGTTGCTCCAAACCCAATGAATTGTCTTTAAAAGGGCATGGGTAAACAATGGTCAAACGATGCTTCCTGGCCCCCAGAATTCAAACTTCACTTTTCTAGCAGAAGGATTTGAACTGCCTTTGTTGAATCGCGAAAGGGATCTTGGACTCATGATGGACAACTTGATGAAAAGGTCAACTGCTCTCTGCCACTGCTGTAGAAAAGGGAAATTCTGTGCTTGGAATCAGTTGGAAGGAAATTGAAGATAGAACACTTGCTATAATAATAGCCTTGTACCAGTCTTTGGTGAGAACACATTTGGAGTATGGTGTACGGTTCTGGTCCCAGCACCTTAAAAAAGATAGATATTAAGACATTAGTAAAGGGAGTTGGAGCAGTTCTACAAGGAAAGATTACAGCAATCAGGGTTCTTCAGCGTGGGATGAAAGAGGATAAGGAGAGACACAGTAGAAATATATAAAGTCATGCATGGCGCAGAGAGGGTGGAAAGAGAAGTTCTGCTCCTTCTTTCCTGCCTTGCAACTTCAGATCATCCACTGAAAGCCGGGAGGTCCAAACCCACAGGACAAAATGCTTTTTCACCAGGAACCGAATTGGAATTTGCAAGCAGTTGGGATGATGGTTGGAAAGAGGACCAGGGCAGGATCCTGGAGGGTCAGGCTACCAGTGGCTACTAGTATTGATGGCTGTTTGCCAGCTCCTGAATCCTAGGCTGCTGCTTTAAATACCGGTTGCTGGAAAGTGAGACTGGAAGGGGGTTCTTGTCTTCTGTCTGTGCTCATGACCTGCTCAGATGCATCCAGTTGTCCTTTATGGGACGCAGAAAGCTGGACTAGAGGGCTTCCCATACCTTAGGCAGATCCAGCCGGGCTCTTTGGATATTCTTATCTCTCCTGCCCATTTCCCCTGACTGGCCCAAATTTCTTCTTCCCATCGTGACCTTCCCCTCTTAACAGTCTTCCCAGAGTCCTTGGTACACTCAAGACATGTTGGCCTTCAACCCATCCTGTTGACTCTCCTGGTGAGAGTTTGAAGCTCAACATATCCAGTAGGCATCTAGGTGGGGGAAAAAAAACATTGCATCTCTTCCCCCCACCTTGCATAGAAGTTACAGTGGGCCCAGCTAGCCAGAAGGAGGCCCTGTGTATTTTTTTAATGTAAAGAACAATGTCTGTGGTGGCAGGACAAGCAGGAATGAGTACTAGTAATGGGAAATTAATCCCACCTTTCTTGTTGCAATTCCATTCAAACTTGTTTGGGGTCATATCCTTCTGACACTGTAAAGCAAAGGAAAGCCGACGTGATTTTTCACTTAGCGGCTGCTTTGCTTAACCACGGAGTTGCCAGTCCCAATTGCAGTCGCTAAAAGAGGACTACCTGTAATCAAAGCTGCGTTTCCTTTTTACGTGGAACATCATCACTTCTTTGACACACCCGGCGTGCTCCCAGTCAAGTCTGTTTCTCTAGTTCTTTCTCCCTTTCCTGTGTCCCCTGGAAGAGAAGCCACCTACTCCTCAGGGCTCCAGCTGTATCAATCCTGCATCTCTTTTGTGCATTGAGGTCTAGAGATCCCTCCTGCACCGCCAAGAAGTAGAATTTCTAGATTGCTTTGGAGAAAGCTGTAACAGTTCAGATGGTGGAAAATCAATATGGGTTTCATAACATTATATACATCAATGTACGCTTGGATGGAGCATCTGTAAAACCTCAAAAAGGGAGAGGTCCATTTTGGATTCCCTGCTCATGAACGTCGTTCAGGTGAAGTCTGTGTGCAAACAGAGGAGGAGATTCTCACCTGTCCTTTGGCAAGTAAATGTCTTAGCCTGAAGCAGATTAAAAGTCATCTTAATGTTTTCTAAGGCTGCAAAAAGCCGTAGCAGATTTGGCAACCCCGGCTGGAGATCCAGTTACATTTTCAACATACCATGTCCTAATTTCCATCTTCTGCCCTGGAGAGAGACGAGCTAGTTTCATACATCTGCTCTAACATTGGTTTAATATTCCCTGGAGATTTGTAAATCTTTCAGGGTCCTTGGGGAATTCTGAATCTCAACCTCAGCAACTTTAAGACGGGTGGACTTCAACTCCCAGAATTCCCCAGCCAGCCATGCTGGCTGGGGATTCTGGGAGTTGAAGTCCACCCGTCTTAAAGTTGCTGAGGTTGAGGAACCCTGGTCTAGAAGACAGAGGGGCCTCTTAAAAAACATTGTTTTTGCAAGTTGCTGGAAGCAGAAGATGTTGGTACTGAAAATACAATAAATGCATGTTTTTCTATTCAGCAGTGCCTTTATTTCAAGTTCCCTGAGCATGTTGGTATTTGTATTCAACAGGAAGAGAGTTTTCCTGTGGGACAGGTACAAAATATATCCATGACGACACGCCAAGGGGAGGCTTACTTACTCCTGCAATCAGGTAGGAAAGTTTTTTTTTTTTAATGCTCAGACAGCCACTTAGATGAAAACCTCCTTTTTTCATGGTCTCGTGTTATTTTAATGGGTTGCTTTTCTTCTGTTTTTGCCTTGTTTTCTTCTGCTTTTCGCTCTGTCTTTTGTTACCAGCTTGTTCATTTTAGAATGATTTTACTGTTTTTCTAAGTTGCTTCGGAACTGTTTAATGAAGAAGTGGGAGAAATGTCTTTAGATTAGATTAGGTAGGTAGGTAGGTAGGTAGGTAGGTAGGTAGATAGATAGATAGATAGATAGAT